CATATAATGTAGCAGAAACTTCCTGTGATTAACATCAACTGCTAAAACACCCACAATTCTCCCACCACCCCAAGAGGCCAAGTAGAAGGCATCCATGAAAAACTGGACAAGAGACAGGACTGGTTTCTGCGCTTGGGAGAGTAACATTGCTTGGGAGGAGAGAACTTCTACACAGCCCTCATGGCTGTTGGACCAGTGGTAGACTTCTCTGGAGCTTCTTCTGGACTTGTGGAGGTCATGCACACATGTGGGTGCTCCATAACCTCCTCAAAATTTGCAAACCAGGCTACTTGGAGACCTAGGACCCTCCACTGCTGCTCCCCACTTTGCCACAGGAACATTCCCGCAGAGATGTGGCACCACTGTACAGCCACCATCTCCATGGATCACACAGTCTGGTTACTCTGGGCCAAGGACACCTGTGGGTTTTCCCTCTTGCAGTACTTTTGAATATCCATTATTTCTAACAACTGCCCCCAGTAACAAAGCTCAGAGCAAGAGGTTGCCTACAGAGCCCAGCTGCCAATGCCAACACAAGGCAGTGGGAAACTTCCATGCCAACAGTCAGCATTCTTCTCCCAGAGAGCCTGGATTAATCCCCCTCTGCTGTTGCTAACAAAGCCCCCCCTTTTTTTTTCCCTTTTATTTTATTTTTTTTAAACCAGGCAGCTGAACCACGATCGAGATCAATTTCGTTATTTCGGAAGCAGTCGCGAGCGGTCAGGGTAACAGAGGCAGCCTGAGGGATGTGGCACAAGCCTCGAGGCTTCCAGCCTTCCTGGCTCTTTCCAAGGCCTGGTGAGCAGGCCTACAGAGACCTCGCACATGGGCTGTGACAGGACCCTTCCTAAACAGCAAGGAAAGGGCGCAGAAGTGTCGGTGCATCACCGGGGTCCGGCGGGGTCAATGGAGATGACAGAGCTTTTAAACAGAAGAGCAGCATCTGTAAATGGGCCCGTGGGCAGGGAAAAGTTCTGCCCTGCAGAGCATCTCCTGTCACGCTGCGCGTAGCAAGGCTCAGAGATGCTGGCCGAGGTGGACTTATCGTTTCTTCTTATGGTTTGCAGACAGCAAGAGGAGTCACAGAGCTGGAGCCTGCAGAGGCACGCTGCTAGCAGGGGAAGGATGGCTGGGAAACACAGCTCAGGAGGGTAAAAACATCCAAAGAACCTCATCGGCTTTAACTGCTGTGGCTGCTCTGCGTGTCATAGGAAGAGACAACCTCTCTGCTGGCAGATACAGCTTGGATGGGGACAGGGTGCTGGGACAAGGTGTACAGGATGGGTTGCCAAGGGCTGCTCTGTAGTTTCTGGGTAGCAGCAATTTCTCACGTGGCCTGAAGTACCATGAGGACACTTGTAGGGATGGTGAGTCTAGCAGCTAGCACTCACCTGGGAGCAGGCAGAGGGCCTCCTTACAGTCACTTACCTCCCATTTCAATTTCTGCATGATGGAAGTTTCTGCCTTGAACTGGAAAGAGGCGCAGCCTTTCCTAAGGGGAGCAGATTTAGACAGCGGATACATTGGAGACGGAATTGCTCACATGGGACATTGATACTACAGGTCCCTTGGGTGAGAGACGGCTCTCCTTGGGCTACATCCATCATCAGTGGCAAGAAAAATAGCTATAAATCAGGGCAGTTCCAGTCCTGCTGCCACAAGCCGCCTTCTCAGCTCTCCCCGTCTACCTCTCCGCCTTCACAGAACATGCACCACTGCCTCTACAGCTGCTCAGAAACCTTGGAATCAGGGCAAGGCCCTAATTAAGATGCTCTGAATTGCTTAATAGGGAAAGACAAGCTGCTCCAAAGACTGAACGAAGCGCTGGGAGGAAACCAAATGCCAAAATTAGTGCCTAAGCCATGTGCCTGAAGTTAAGCAGCGTGAAGTGCTCCTCTGCATGCCTGTGCAAAGCCTGATGCAAATATCCCATAATTGTAACGGCAATGAAAGGCAGCCCACCACCTCACTCTGTCCTTTCCTCTCGTGCAGGCAGCCCAATACATCACATGGTGCTTTGACTCTTCCCCGCCTGAATCAAATGTGTGTTCCTTGCTAGATACAGAGGGAAGCCAGATTTGGAAGTCACCAAAAGCCCCAGTGAGTTTTCATGTGTGCACATGCACATATGAACTGCATCAGCCTTCTGTGTGTATAGACAGTAGAATAATAGACTCATTTAGGTTGGAAAAGACCCTTAAGATCATCAGGGTCAACCATAAACCTACCACTGCCAAGTCCACCATTAAACCATGTGCCTAAATGCCATATCTACTACATATCATCCTTTAAATACCTCCAGGGATGGCCACTCAACCACTTCCCTGGGCACCTGTTCCAATGCTTGACAACCCTTTCAGAGAAGAAATTCTTCCTCATATCCACTCTAAAACCTCCCCTGGTGCAACTTGAGGCCATTTGCTCTCTTCCTATAACTTGTTACTTGGCAGAAGAGACAGACCTCCCCACCTCCCTACAACCTCCTTTCAGGTACTTGTAGAGAGCAACAAGGTCTCCCCTCAGCCTCCAGGCTGAACAACCCCAGTTCCCTCAGCCTCTCCTCATAAGACTTGTGCTAGAGGCCCCTCACCAGCTTTGTTGCTCTTCTCTGGACCCGCTCCAGCACCTCAATGTCTTTCTTGTGGTGAGGGGCCCAAAACTGGACACAGTACTCGAGGTGAGGCCTCACCAGTGCCGAGCGCAGGGTTCAATCCCATCCCTAGTCCTGCTGGCCACACTATTTCTGATACAAGCCAGGATGCTATTGGCCTTCTTAGTAGGTGCATTCACATGATATGTGATTTCATTTGGTGCCTACTGGTCGGTCACCAGGCAGAAAAGCAACTGCCCCAAATTCCAGCGATGAGTTTGCAAACAAACCATAGGTTCAAAGTTCTCTGGAGGACTTTTCTGCATTCGCTAGTGGATTTTAAGTTAATTTTTATATCAGCTGCTTCCAGGTGGCTTCATGGTTGATCATTTCCTTTGACCACTCTGCAGTATTTCCCATCCTCAGAGCAAAGTGCTACCCTAAATGTGCTTTAGAGGTGGGAGGAGAAACCAGCCCTCAATTTGGAAAAGCGGCTTTGTTTCATATTTAATGGGGTCCCTAGAGCGTCCCAGCCACCTCCCTTACCCCACCCCTGATCCTGGCGTGGGGATGCCGTGGGATGTGCTGCGTGGGGGGCACTTGAGGTTTGTGGCTGCACCCGATGTGGCAGCAGCAGCCCCTGCTGCGAGCGCTGCAAAACTGCAGGCGGCTTTTTCCCCAGCCCGGTAGTTGGGGAAGTGGCAAAGAAGAAGAAGCCACCGGAGCTCCACCGGCAGGAACACCCACATTCCCCGGGGAAAGGGTGGCCGGAGACCCCCTCCCGGGGCTGCACAGCCCGGGGGTCTCCCCACCGGCATCCCGGCTCCGCCAACACGCTCCGGCCTGGCAAATAAAGGATGGTTATAAATAAAATACCAGCCCCTGCATGCTCACAGAGTGCTCCTGCACCCCCGGGGCACAGAACTATAGAATCATTTAGGTTGGAAAGACCCTCGGGATCATCGAGTCCAACCATCTACCCTACTCTACAAAGTTCTCCCCTACACCATATCCCCCAACACCACATCTAAATGACTCCTAAACACATCCAGGGATGGTGACTCAAGTGCCTCCCTGGGCAGCCTATTCCAATGCCCGACCACTCTTTCTGTGAAAAACTCTTTCCTAATGTTCAGTTTAAACCTACCCTGTTGTAGCTTGAAGCCATTCCCTCTTGTTCTATCACTAATTACCTGTGAGAAGAGACCAGCACCAACCTCTCTACAAAAGGACTTTCAACTAGCTGTAGAGAGTGATGAGGTCTCCCCTCAGCCTCCTCTTCCTCAAACTAAACAGTCCCAGCTCTTTCAATCGCTCTTCATACAATTTGTTCTCCAGGCCCTTCACCAGCTTTGTTGCCCTCCTCTGCACTCGCTCCAGCACCTCGATATCTCTCTTGTATTGAGGTGCCCAAAACTGGACACAATACTCCAGGTGTGGCCTCACCAGTGCTGAGTACAGGGGGACAATCACCTCCCTACTTCTGCTGGCCACACTATTTCTAATACAAGCCAGGATGCCATTGGCTTTCTTGGCCACCTGGGCACACTGCCGGCTCATATTCAGCCGCTTGTCAATTAGAACCCCCAAGCACTTTCTGGCTCTACACGAGCCATTGGGTGGACCCAGATGATAAAAACTGCTTTTTTGGGGTGCCCGAAATGGTGCTGTGGAAGGGCACGCTGTGGCATGCCTTTCTAAACCCCAACCCCCCGCCTGCCCTGCTCCTACCCACCTTGGGCTTGTTCAGCATCCCTCCGTGCCAACACGGGCTGTGCCAGCAGCCTTCCCCTGTGCTGGGACTGCAGGAGACTTTCCACAGTTGCACCTTGCCTGGGCTTCTCTGTCTCTGGGCCCCACTGCGGATTTGCCCTAGTAAGGCATCCCCAATCAAAGCCAGAGGAAGCTGGTTTCTGTTAGCAAAATGTGACCAAAAAAAAGAAAAATTGTGATTACCCTCAGGAGTGTTTCCATTTCAGAAGCGAAGAGGGGCTACGGGAACATTGCTCCCCATAAGATCATTGGTTTTGGTGATTTGGCCTAGAAATTCAGCAAGCTTGGAAAACTGCAGGGGCGATGGGGGGAAAAAAAGGTGACACCAGTGAAGGGACACAGCAGTGAGGGATTTCACCACTGTAAAGGGTAACAGAGAGGGCAGTGCAAACATGCATTGTTCAAAACCAGGTTTGGGATTCTTCTGTCACCTGCCCTTTTAACAAAGCTTTTCTCTAGAGGGTTTTTTTATGCACTGGGCGTCAGACCTCAGCATCCTGAACTTCTCCCGTGGAGGCAATGATGCATTGAAATGCCTTCACAAATATCCCCCAAAAAGCAGGCACACCGGATTTACTGTTCTTGATATTTCTAAGATAAAAATTAAACAGACCATATTAATTTAAACAAACCTCATTCCAGACTACATCATCCATACAAAGACATACAGAAGGGCACAAGCCCCAGAAAAAAAAAGAAGGCAAAAAAAAAAAAGAAAAGAAAAACGTTTTCAGATCCTTTTTTATGATTTCTAGCGTGCCTTTCCCTTCAGCTCTGACCTGAGTCTCACCTACAACCATTCAACTGAAAGACACAAAATGCAAAGACACCTCCGAGGATGTCACCTTTGGACTCCATTTTCTCACTCAGATGCTACCCCAAAAAAAACCCCTTGAAAGTCTCCCCCTGACACCCCAGCCCAAGGTCTGTGCTTTGCCAGGGAGCAGCACCCCAGGGGAGCAGCAGCCTGCAACTGTTCCTGGCGTCCGGCTGTCTCCCATCTCCAGCTAGGTGTGATGCTGGTGGGAGGCTCAGCATCTGCAGCCTTGGGGGAAGGAGTCCTCTGTCTGTCTGTCTGTCTCCTATGTGCAAGAAGCCACACGTGTTTCTGAGACAGGGTGCTGCTCCCCACTGGTGCCAATCATCCAGCTCTCGCAGGGAAAACCCTCTGAGATTATGAAATTTGGGTTCTTGCGGGCCACCCGCAGAGTCTTCCCATTGCCGGCGCTGGGACAGACAGACGTGCCGGGTATCCGTGGGGTGCAGGCAGCTGCCTGGAGCAGCTGGGACAAAACCACTGCCACCTCACCGGGTGCTGCCAGCCCCTTCTCAGCCAAACACAGTCACCGCTGGCCAGGCTGGGGCTGACACCATGACCCGAGCGGGGCAAGGTTATGCCAGAAGGAGACGCATCCCTCGGAGAGACGTGTGACTTCAGCGTCGCTGAAAACACACAGCATTTTGGGGATGGGGGGGGCACCTGCCTTTGGGGCAGGGGTGCTCGCAGTCATACAAAGGTGGGTTTCAGATCTTCTTTGAAATTCACCACGGGCTGGAGCCCGCCGTGGTGCTCTGTCCAGTGGCCCGCGCCTTCGCTGGGCTCTGTGTCCGTGTCCGTGCTGCTGCTGCCCAGGGAGCCGCGCGGGCTCTGGAAGCAGACCTCGCAGCAGGGACGATGGCAGCCGTGAAACATCTCCTCAGAGCTGCTGCTGCTGGAGTCAGAGTCTGGGTAGTAGTACAGAGAGCGCAGGGAGGGCTCGGCAGGTCCCCTCAGGGCACCCTGCCGCTGCCGCCGCTCCTGTGAGAGGGACAGGGAAGCACCCTGGGACTCCGGCCATCCTGGCCATCCCTCCCGCTGGAGGCAGGCCTCCCCAGGGACAGCTGGAGGGGATGGTGCCGATGGGTGAAGGAGCCCTCCACCAGCCATCTCCCCTTCCCTCCCTGGGGAGACTTGTGCTGACTCCTCACAGGCCCAGCCACCCTCCTCCTTCACCCCACGGCCGACACGAGGGGACACATGGCCGGGGAAGCGGGTGGAGGTGGTGGGCAGGGGTATCCTCCGCCGCCGCCTCGCCAGATAGGGGCTGAGTGGTGTGCGGTTGCCCAGGTAGCCCTCCTGGGCCTCCCACCTTCCTCCCTGCTCGCCTTGGGGGCCCTGGCTGCCATGGCGGGGGGGTCCCCCACGCAAGGCCGGGCTGTAGGCTCTGCCGTCCAGGCTCAGCTCTTGCAAAACTTCCCTCAGCTTCTCGCTGCTCACATAGCTGACTTTGGGGGACGACTCCCAGGCCAGGCCAGCTGAGATGTTGTGGTCCAGCAGCTGCTCCGGAGGCATCCTGCCCTCCTGGGCTTCTCTCGGGCCACGTTCGAGGTTGTCCCCTGTGTCACAAAGCAACGCCCGAGAGCCAACAGGCTCTCCTGGCCTCACGTGCTCCTGGGTCTCGTGTTTCTGGAGCTCCTGAGCGTGGCTGCAAATAGGTGGTGTGCCCAACAAGCGGGGAGGCTGCCACCCATCCCGCTGCGGATCCGGGGGGCAGCGGTCCCCCGGCACATCCCCGCTCCACCCCGCGCTCTGGCTGCAGGGAGCTGCCGGTGGTGCCGGGGGGTCACAGCCACCCTCCGCGGACATCAGCCTCATCAGCTTCTCCTTGGCGCTGCTCACTTGTTCCTGCAGGCTTGCAATCACGGCGTTTTTCTGCGATAAAACACAATACGCTTTGTCAAGCGCGGGGTGGGCGGAGGGTACAAAAATGCCAGCGCTGCTGGAAAATGAGCCACCTTCTCTCCAGGTGGAGAGGTGCTCCGAGGCAGTGCAGCAGCAGCCCTGCCAAAGCCAGACCAGCAGAGCCTGTGACCTCCTCCCCCTTGAGCCCTGCAAAGCCCCCTAAATGTGGGTACAGGAAGGGGGGCACAAGGGCAGGTGGCTCTCCGAGCCAGGGTGCTCCTGCCCAGGCAGCGTGGGTGAGGGAGCAGGAGGCTGGGGGGGGACTTTTCTGAGATGGAGCATCTCCCCTCTAAATTAACCATGTTTGACTGGGCTGTGGAACCAGGCTCTCCTGCTCTTCTCCCTCCATGTTTTTTTGAAACCCTCTGGACCGTGCCTAGATTTCGGCACTTTGGGGTGCAGAGTGATGTGACAAAACAAAGCAGCTCTTCCCCTCCAGAGGGAAGAGGCCAGAGGGGGAGCACCAGCGTAAAGAAGGGCTTCTCACCCTGCAAAGCCTTCAGCCCACAAAAGGGAAGGGGAGAAGCCAGCGGGGGGGGCCCTGCAGAGCCCCATACCTCGGTGAGCAGCCGCTTCATGGAGTTTTTCTCCCCTATCAGCTGGTAGAGCTGCTCCTCGCTGTACACCGAGCGGCAGCTCCGGCTTGGGCTGGTGAAATACTTTGCCATGTGGCTGACAGTTTGGCTTTCTTCTTCAAAGGCTTTCCACTGCTTGAGCTGGGGAGCAGAGGAGGGCGTTATCGGCGCGGCACGCACAGCCCCTGCCGATGCGGCGGGAGGCCGGCGCAGCCCCAGCGCCAAGGAGACAAAGGGATGGAGAAAGGGAGACAAAGGCAGGGTGTGACAGAGGAGCAGAGGCGGCTGGGCGAGGGGCTGCAGCAGCATCGCTTGGAGCCTCCCACCCATCTGAGCCCTACCCTGGCCCTGGCTCCGGCTTTTAACACGGAGAGGGTGGGTGTCTGCCTGCGCTGCAACCTCTAAGCGCGCTGTAAGAACCCCTTCCCCCCGCTCCTCGGCTGTGTGACAGACAAAGGCAGTGTCACGCACGCCTCTCTAGCCCCAAATCACCAGCGACAAGCTGAAAAACAGCAACGCTCAGTATCTGTTTTCTCATCTCATGTCTGCGTGGAAGCCCCGTGCAGCCTGGCTCCAGCTGCCCATCGATCTCGGATGAGCAATAGAAGAGCAAGCCCATTAGGAAAGACAAGTTGATGAATTAAAAGATCCAAGTTAAATAAAACGTTCAAGGCCCCCAAGCTACAACAGAAAAAAATGGTGCAGGCAGAGTGCAAGTACAGCTCATCGCCTCCTCCGCCCTCACTCCAAGAGACCTCGCGCTTGGCAGAGCATCGCCAGCAGGGTTGGTGCTTGTCAGAGGAGGTTTGGATCCTGCTCCCATGGCCTTGTCATCTAGTGAGGTGGGACTCTGCAGTTATACTGCATCAACTGAGGTTGGAAGGGACCTCCGGAAATCATCTAGTCCAACTGCCCTGCTCAAGCAGGGTTAGCTGGAGCAGGCTGCCCAGGACCACCTCCAGCTGGGTCTTGAATATCTCCAAGCATAGAGAATCCACAGCCTCTCTGGGCAACCTGCTCGAGTGTTTTACAACTTTCACAGAACTCCCACGCCTTTTTGTGATGTTTAAACAGAATTTCCTATGTTTCAGTTTGTGCCCATTGCCCCATCCTGTCAGCAGACACCACTGAGAAGAGCCCAGTTCCCCCCTCCCTACTTCACCCCCCTAGGCACTTTTGCACATTAGCGAGATCCCCCGAGCCTTCTCTTGCACGGATCTGCTCTTTCTTCAGCTTCACCTCTTCCTCCCTTTCTCACCTCATTTCCTTGAGCCCAAACATCCCTCCAAACATAACACTGAGTAAACAACTGTTTCCTCTCCCCGTAACAATGGGAGTATTTTTCCCACTAACATTGTGGCCAGACACACCAGGCTGCTCCTCGAGGACACAGGAAGCAGAAGAGCCTTGACTTGCCACAAAAGGCTTCCTCTAAATATCTCCACGTCCTCCCTCTCGCCTGCAGCAAAGCCCAGCTTCCTCTTCCAAGAGTGCAGAAGAGGATAACCTCCCCTGGGGATCACCGGTAGATGTGAAACCTCCGAGCCTGACGAGGCCATGTGGATTGCTGGAGCCCACCTCCATCCCTGCTGTGGGCAGAAAAGCTCTGTGGGAGCAGGCACGTGCGGTATGAGGAGAGGACAACCGCATGAAGGACCCATACTCGTGAAAGAGGAGGAGGGCAGCAGCCACCTTGCCTTCAAGTGTGCCCCCTGCATGGCTGCCACCCACAGCACACTCTTGCAGGAGGGTTTCTGAGCAGCAGCTCTCCTTAGAGACTCGGGGACCTTGCTTGGGGAAGCAGAGCCATTGGGCCTTGGAGGATGAGCTGTGCAGCTGAGCCCAAACACTTGGGGAAAGAAGCAGGAAAACAGGTGCTTTGGCCCATATGGCTAGAGTTGTTAAACTCCAAAAATGTGCCCATTTCCATCCAGGTGGTGAGACAAAGGTGGCAGCATACCTGTGGGACAAAGATGAAGCAGTTGATCGTGGTCGTACACACGAAGATGCCTCCAGAGGTAAAACCAAACAGCAAGTTGTGCCAAGCGCGGAAGAAACGGTGAACTAAGCAGACAGTGCCAGCAGCCAGGAAAACGAGGTTGACCCCAACGATGAGCGTCAAGGACTGGTTGACTGGTGGGGAGCTGATGTTGTCGGTCAGACCAGCCAAGTAGGTCCCGTACAGCAGGAGGATACTCTGGAAGCAGAAAAAAAAAAGAGGTTTCCAGAGTGTGGAAAATTACAGCCTGATGGTGTCAACCCCCACCTCGTACCAAGCCCGGTGAGCTCAGATACACTCAGCGCAATCCTAATTAATGCTCTTTGATCTATAATGCAGACCTTCAGAGCGTGGTGGTGACACTGCAGCAAACGCCCAGCACGCTGCCGCAGGTCAGAAGTGGGGCTGGGGAGGGAGGACACGAGTGGGAGGTGGTGGTGGGCCCTGGGGGTCCCGATAGAGGGGTGCGAGGAGCTGTGGGTCAGGTTGGCAGGCGATGCCACAGAGCAGGGCATGGCTGGCAAGACGTGAAAGACTCCCCTTGGGCAGCCTGGAGCAGGAGCAGCAAAGATGAACAGACAAGAGACGGAAGCCCCTGCAGGGATGCAGAGGTGGGGTGCCATCAAAGAGCAAGGACATACGTCTGAAGGAGCAGGAAGGAGATTCAGAAGAACATTCAGAAGGAAAAAGGAAGGCAGAAGAAGTGGAGGCTTAGACTGGAGGGAAGAGGATGTAGTTGGTGCCTCTTTAAATAGAAGTCCAGGAAACTACCAGGTGCAATTCTTCTCCCTTTCCTTCGCCATTTCCTGCCTGACTCTAGCAGTGGTGAGAGGGGCTTCAGAAGTGCTCTGTATGAGGCTCTCCTCTCCCACAGCAGGTCAGTTGTTTCAGAGCAGGTTTCTTCACCGCACTGCCCCTCAAGTGTCCCACGTGTGCATCTTTCTAGTGGGCTCAGGATTAAACTACCCTGCAGGCTGAACCCCTCCTTCCTCAGGGCACACTGGCAGGAAACAATGAGTATTTTTTGCCCTCCTCTTGTAGCGCAGGACATGGTCTGCCCTCAGGATCTTTTGGAAATACCATCTAACAAAATCCCTGCTCCTGCAAGGACCCAGAATACAGGGAACACAAATCCTACATTATTCCTGTGCTACTCAGTAAGTGCTACTGTCAGCCTTTTACCAAGAGGCATTAAATTGTCTTTTAAGCATCAAGAAGTACTTTGTGACCTGTGGTGCAGGTGTTCTACAGACCCTTCTAGACCTCTCTGTGCTGTGGCTGCTGGATGACCATGACAGCCACTGCCAGGCCCTCATCTGGAGGGACACTTACACAGGCAAGAGAGCTTCATGTCCATAGTCTTGGAGAGACTCCCAACTTCAAAGCACCACAAATTATCCAGGGGCAGTTGTAACAGTGAGACCTGCCTCATTGGGAACTAGGCTGATGACCGACCCCGTTTCATAAGATCTGCACTGGATCATAACCACTTTCACCACGGGGCACCTTCAAATGCACAGCCTGAAGGCAAGCCAACTCCTAGTCCCTGAGCAAGAAAAAACCACAGCACCAAAGTCCCATTTAAATCATATAGTCTATCTGGGACAGACAGACAACAGGACTACTGTCTAGTAAACTAAGACTTTCAGTAAGCACAGGACTCAGGGTTTTTTTTGTGTTTGTTTGTTTGTTTTAATCTTGAGCAGAGGACTTTGCTCCTAATTCCAGGCATGCCCTTGGCAAGTCATCTCTGTTCATTGCTCTGTGCCAGTAAAACCAGGATAATACACTGAGCGGCTTCATAAAGGGCTGAGCACATTAATGCCGTGGAAGATAAGAAGTGCTATGTACACGCAGAGATAGAGCCTACTCTCACATTAGTGTAAATCCAGATTAGCTCCAGAGAAACCACTAAAGAAAGACCTTCATGACCCTCATTAGGCAGATAGAATCAGGGTCAGGTTCAACACAACGTTAACGAGGAGTACCTGGGACATGTGATGGGGATGTTTTATTCCGAAAAGCTGTTTGTAGGAGCTGTAGGCAAAAGCATTACCTGTCTAAACCCTAACACAAACTGTGGGCAAAATTAGAAATGGAGACACAGCACTGAAAGCCCAGGGAACGCCTGCAAGTCCTAGCACCAGAGGACTTTTAAGGCCAGGCTACACAAATGTCTTTAAAATAAAGAAGAACTTGGCTGTGTTATGAGGTCTCTTTCTGCTCTTTTTCCCTATGATTTTGGGTAGATGGTCAGCGGGTATTATATTACAGTGACTCAGAAAGGAACTGCCTGTACTGCAGGCAGAGATGGAGCCATTCCCAAAGAAAGGCTGTGATCTCACAAGCTTCATCAACATCAGCTTTCTGAAATGCGTCCAGCTTCTGCCAACCCAGAGACACATGAGACCACAGATAATTACAGCGATAATTATACCTACATAGTTACATCAGTATAACTAACTCTTCTGGAATAAGAATGGCCACGTGCAAAGCTACACCAGTGAAAGTGTACCTCAGTGGTATAATTAAGCTGATACACATCCTGTAAAGGTAGGCACCAAGCACTTGTCATCAGCACCTCCTTGATTTGGAGTCAGAGGGCTCGGAGGCTGAGCCATCTAGTCCCTCACTTTGGTGGATGGCCATCTGAGGCTTTATGGAAAAAGTGTGCTTCAGAAAGCAGTAAGACACAAGTTTTAAGAAAGGAGATAGACAAGGTGTGGGGGGTTGGAGGGAGAGAACTGGAGAGACAGTGTGTGCACGGTGTATGTAAAAGAGATGGTGAGGCAGACAAAGAGTGGCTAACAGGGCTTTTACAAGGGAATGCAAGAAAAGATCAAGATGGGCAGGACTGGAGAAGGGAGAGTTTTCAAGATGAACAGGAGTAGCCGGAATCTGCAAGAGGCATATAGCTTGGGAGGGCAGCAAAACTACGAATGCTGCTGAACAGTTTAGGCTGTGAGACTCGGAGGAGGTGAGATACAATGCAAGAATCAGTAAAGAGGTTACGTACCTTAAACCCTAAAATGAGAACGAGCCAAAGCTCGGAATAAAGAGATGCGCAGGACTGCACTCGGCTCACTGAGCAGGTCATGCCTTTCTCTGTCGCCTAGGAGGCAAGGGGAAGGCAGAAGTGAAGACTGCTGCCCTGGCCTACGAGCAAGCACAGACCGATGGGCAGGCAGCTGTAAGCATTTGAGCAGGTCTCCTCTGTAAATTCCTAAAAGGAAAGGCCAATGCTGGTGCTGCCACGGGCGGAGAGTTAAAGCAAGGAAGATGTTGGCACTCTGCTGCCAGCTAAACCTTTCTCTAAAGCATCTGTGATGCTATGCACCTCTCCTGTGTCACCCAGGTGACCTGCACAGACCTGGAAATTTTGCAGCAAACTGTCATCTCTGTAATAGACCAGACATAAAACCAACCCAGAGCACTCAGAAGGCTTTTCGTCTTGTTTTTCTATTTATTTTTTTTTTAAACAGCACCTCCAAATGCCTGACCACCCACCAACTTTGTCCACAGAGATCAGACAGGACATGGTGCAACCCTCCACCGCCCCTCCTCATCCCTTTACCCGCAGTGAGATGCTGAGGCTTCGGAAACACTGGACTGGATCAGAGAATACCCACGTCAAGAGCAACACAGTGTCTGCCAGCACCAACGCTGCCACCATCGCCAGCAACTGGAGGTCTTTGATAATCTGCAAACACATAAGAAGTGTTACCATGGGGGGAAAATGGACGCCAATAACCTTCATCCCCTTGGGTCTCTTTCTGGTTGTTGCTTCCAAGTGACATGTCCATCCTAATACTTCCCATGGCTCACCTCCATCAGAGTTGGCCACAGACATCTGTCTCCAGCTCCCAAACTCTAGGAGACCTAATCAGGCTTGTATAAAGCCTCCCTGATGGTGTGGCTAGCTGGTAAATGCTATAACAGAAAACAGCTCTTCCAAGACTATCGTCCCTATATCACAAGCAGAAACAAAAAGACTGGGAAAAAAAAAAAAAAAAAAAAAGCTGGCGGGCCCCTCCGGGCCAAGCCGCCCCTTCCCCTCCGCTCCCTGGGCCACCCTCTGCCTCAGCCGCAGAGCTGGGCCCCGTCCGTCTTACCTGTTGGAAAGCGAGCCCTGTTTCTGAAGGGAAGAGGCAGAAATTCCCAAGGGGCGGTACGTGCTGAGAGGGGTGGGGTGTGAACTGCTGGGAAAGGTATCTGGGGAGAAAAAACTGGGAAAAAAAAAAAAAAAAAAAAAAGCTGGCAGGACTATCATTTTGCAAATTTAACCCAGACCCTGATGCACCAGGAATGGGAGTCCTTGCTGGTACCCGGTTCCTCTACAAACCATCTCGTCTCTCACCTTTCCTCTGAGACCTACTTTTTTCACTTTTGTAAAGTGGCTGCTGAAAGCTGGAAGTGCAGCCTTACATGCAGAAATTTCTACAGGGGGCTTCCATTTTCCTCCCAGCTGCTCTATCTCCTCCCTTCAGTGCTGCAGAGGAGTTCCCTCCCCTCCCCTTCAAGATGCATCTGAGGGCGGCCCTACATCAGACACTCTTTGGGATACCTGGTTTATTTTCATCCTGCAAAACAAATCATCCCAGACCTGAACAGACACACCAGCACACAGTGTAATGAAGGCATGAGGCCAGCGTAAAATGAGAACAAGACCTTGCTTGGTGATGGGGCTGGGAATCCACTGGGGAACAGGCAGCCTGGCAGGGAACCTGGTTGCCTGTAGAGTGGAAAAACTCCTGCCTCATTGTGCAGAAATAAATGAGGAACCCATGCCCGGCTAGGTGTGAAACCAGACCTGTGGTTTTATCTGCCATCCCACACTGGTTTGGGACTTGCTGGTGTTCACCCACCTTGGGGAGTTTGTCATCATCCCCCCTGCCCCAGGTGCTGTGTACTTACAGAATCACACAATCACAGAATGGTTAGAGTTGGAAGGGACTTCAGAGATCATCGAGTTCCAACCCCCCTGCCATGGGCAGGGACACCTCCACTAGAGCAGGTTGCTCAAAGCCCCATCCAGCCTGGCCTTGAACACCTCCAGGGATGGGGCATCCACAGCTTCCCTGGACAACCTGTTCCAGTGTCTCACCATCCTCAGAGTAAAGAATTTCTTCCTGATCTCTCATCTAAATCTCCCCCCTTCCAATTTAAAACCATTACCCCTTGCCCTGTGGCTACACTTCACTTACCACCCGCTTGTCTGGCACCCTCTGGGTGAACACCTTGTAGAGCCGCCAGCTTTTCCCCAGGACAGGGCCGAAGACCAGGGAGGTCCCCACGCACAGCAGGCAGAGCCGCACCTGCCGGGGGGGAAAGAGCAAGGGGGCTGAAGGGGCAGCCGTGGGGCTCACAGGGACACCCCACGCCCTCCCACCCAGGGATGTGGTCTTCTGGCTTCTGCAGAGTCATTATCAGATATCGGACAGCTGACTGCAGGGCAAAATAAATTAAAAGGTGCATATTCCTCTGCAGGGCTGCCTGCTGCCTGCCTTTCCCTTCTCATCCCCCCGAGGCTCTCATCCGAGGAGCGGGCAGGGAGAGCCAGGCAGCTTGCGGGCAGCAGGGTGACAGAGGGGCTTGGCACCAATAAATCACTCGCTGGCACCTCTGTTAATTATTCCCAGCCCGGCGGCTGAGCAGGACGGCAGGGTGTGCTGTCTCCCACCTTCCACTCCCCCACCCGGGTCCATGCCCAGTGCCCTGCCCCAGGTCAGGACACGAGGGTTCATCACACAGGTCAGGGTGTTGATGATGATTTGCTTTGCTTTGCAGCCAGAAGGCTCCCCTGCAGCCTCACAACACCTCTGCATGCTTATACATGCCCACCTCTGCGTGCGTAGGCACCTGTCCCAGCAAACACCCCCCATCTCAGCTCACCTGAATAAGCTTTTCTACCGAGTCTCCGGAGGGCAGGCTCTGCTCCTGAATCCCAAAGAGGTAAGCACTAGTGTAAGTCAAGCCGCTACCCAGCAGGGTCACAATGTTCAGATTGGGGCTGGACATCTTCACGATCCTCCAGGAAACAAAGCAGGGAAGGTGGTGACAGTTACTGAGAGTCATGACCTGGCAGCATGGGGACAAGGTCCCCTTACAGGAACAATGATGGCCATAAGGGATGCTGAGACACTGCCCTGTCGTCCCCCCAAGCCCCTGCTGTTCACGGCTCCTCCAAAACCTCAGCCATTGCTTCATGGTGCATACCCCATCCCCCCTGCTGTATTGCTGGAGTGCTTCACTGTCCTTAAAGTACTCATTCTGCCCTACCCCGACACTCCTATGGGGCAGCAAGATCCTTCTTCCCAAAACAGACGAGTACCAGGCTTGCCCTGCAGCACCTCTACCCGCTGCGTGTGTCTGCAGACAAAGAAGCATCTCTGAGTCCATGTCAGGCAGCGTCTTTATGGACAAAACTGTGGCAAGCCGTGGGGCTTTAGCAGCAAAGCAGACAGGGTTACCACAGCTGGGTCTCTCTGCGACCAGTGCCCATGTCAGGCATGCAAAACTGCTCCAGTGGTGCCAGCACATGCCGTGGCCACACAGCCCCATATCGTAAAGGGACAGAGTGGAAAACCTCATTAATGCAGCAGTAAGCTTTGGGTACAGCAGCTACAAACGCCTCCAGGAACAGCCTCTTCCCTTTCCTCCTTCCTTTGAGGAGATAGTTCCACCTTCAGCATAGCCTGGACTTCAGGAAGCTGCCAGCAGTGCTCAGGTTACGGCTCCCCCTCTGTAATTCCACCCCATCACTCATAACCCTGTAACTGTACTCAGGGAGGGAAGAATCAACCCACCGATCTCTCCCGACCTGTCACCCTTCTCCAGCAAGCCCATCAAGAGAAAGCTGTAGCTCCTGCCATCCCCCCACCAAGCTCCGTCCCTTCCACCAGCTGCTAAGTCATTGCGTTTCTCTACCCTTGGGCTCCATCCTGGCTCTCTCCCTCCCCGCCTTCCTCGCCATGCCTCAGCCCCTGGGGAAAGATAGTCATCAGCTCACCCTCTCAGCTGTGGGCTGAAAAAGGTCTCCTTTGCCCTCCCAGGTTCAGTAGAGAGACGGGTATTTATTTGCTGCAGCGCAAATAAATAATGCCCGTTCATTACAGCTTACTCTGAGAACATCTTCAGGGGCCTAAATAATTTGGTAATCAATTAAGGTGGCCACTGAACTCAGCACCACTCTGCTTCAGGAAATCAAGTGCTTGAGACCAGGATGCAGGGCATGCAGCTACTGCCCCGCAGCACACATAGGGCTCATGATAAACCCTTACGAGCAGGAGACCCTTCTGACTGCATGGTGGTCATAAGAAGGGTTATGTTCCTTCACACAACCAGGCATTGGCAGGTGGAATTTGGGAGAGGGATGTACCTCTGGAGGTGGGGAGAACCATTGAGGGACCAAGGGACCAATAAAGCTGAGGAGAAGGTGGCAAGGAGGCAGGTGAGACATCCAGAATTGGTGAGGAAGGCTAAGAGCTGACTGAGGCAGGTTGAGCTATGAGGAATCACTGAGCCTACTGCTTGATTTATGCTGCATTCAAGGCAGCAGGAACATCCTTTGTGCAAACTGAACAGCACCAAGGAAAGCCTGCACTTCACCACCAGCTTCTCTCTCCAATGGAGATCATGTTCCCCACCAATACAGACAACCACCAAGATCAAAAGAGGTTAGCAATATCTTCAAGCTACGAGTGGCCCAACAGCAAGAAGGATATGTGCATACTGTGGGAAGCATGATGGCTTTGCTCATGGAGCTATGCTGCTCAAAGTGATGCTCTCAAGACTGTGGAGTGGAGAAGGAGACCAACACACTTTCTGCTCACTCCAGTTAATGGTTTTATTGACCAGGACCTTCAGGATGAGACCATGCACTGCTGCCTGTGCTACGCCGGAGGGCATCCATGCTCTGTCTTGTTCACAGCTCCCTGACTTGTGGAGGAAGGGCACAGTCCAAGCAGGACTGTGATCAACACTGGGTGTGATGGAGAAAGCTGCAATATTCCTGGCACTGCCCTTGCATGCCCCATGCTGCTCCTTCAGGCTTTACCCTCCCCGATGCCTAGCTGGCCACCAGCTCAGAGTCTAGCCCTGAAGAAGCCTGACTCTGCTGCCCCAGCTCTGCAGAACTCTCACAGGCAGAAGAGGGAAGCCCTTACCTGTTTTTCCTAAAGCGAATTGTGAAGACAAGAAAGAAGAGCGTTAGCAGGACTCCTCCGGTCAGGAACGTCCACACAACTCCCAGGAGAGCAGCAGAGAAGGATGGGGAGCTCTTCCCACTGCGGTCAGAAGATGTCTGGGGGAGACAAAAGGGATAAGAAGGAAGAGGATGCTGCTGGCATGGATGGGTCCTCCTGCTCAGCCAGAAGGGACTCAAAGCCACATCTCTCAAACCCATCCTCATAAGCAGACACCCTGGCACTAGACCAAGACCAGGGGCTGGGCTAAGGAGACGTGTGTAGACAGGACACATACTCTGCCACTTGCTGAGTGCACAGGAAGAGAGGGCAGTGCAGGAGCCCTCTTCTTACAGCCAACTAGCCAAACAAAGCTGTACAAGTGACTCACAAACCTCAGTCAGCCCTGATTGTGGGAGAGGGGGAAATGGGTGACGGTTCCCCACTGTCCTTCTCTGGAAATAAACCTCTGGAGAACAAACTGGTGGTACCCCAGTTTGTAGCATGCTTCTTTGGAAAGTCAGGTAGGGCATCCTTGTCTCGCTGTTCCCACCCTTGCCCCTACATGCAGCAGATAACCAACCAGGCAGCTGACGTGACTGGGAGCCAGCATCAGAGCTGCCAGTTGGCGCAGAAAACACATAAAAGGGAGTGGGACAGCGTTTTTCAGAATCATTACGCAGCGACACACCGAGCTGGGCTCCACCCGTCTCCCAGCTGGCTGGAAAGTAGCTTGGTCCTGGGTAGACATCAGCTGAGAACTGGCTTTTGAGGGACACTCCCAAAGTGAGTATGATGGAGGCACCTCTCTCCTTGCACACAAGTGACCTTATGGTTTTAAATCTCCATTTGAAAAAATTCTCTGCTATCTCCCTATTAACATAGGATGGATAAAACAATCCTACATGAAACAAGAAACCTATTTCTGCTACACCTCTAAAATACTCCAGCATTTTTACCAGGGTGTGTATGTGGGGGTTTGTTCACACACACCATGCGTGCATGTTACTGATAATTTTTTTGGTTTTTAACAAAGTCTTTTTTCAGGTATTCCAGTTCACCTGCAAGCAATTCTGCAGCAGAAGGCTATTTTCCCAACAGCTGCCACTGCCCCAAACTAGAAATTCTTCCTTCAAGAGCTGAGCTTTTTCTGCTTCCAGCGTTGCTACAAATAAATCTACAGGGAGAACCAAGGCAGTCGTTTTGAGCTGATGCCTTATTTCCCTTTCCCCAGCTAAGGCTCCATCTCCTCTGGGTGAACAAAAACAAGGCACAGCCTGGTGAAATTAAAGCCAACACATAATTCTTGGAAGAAAAATGTGACACCGCCACGCAAGCACGGCTAATCCATGGGCTCCTGGCAGCTGGTACCAGGCTGGTCGCAGGGCTGCTGGGTAAGGCAAACCCAGGAGACAATGCTGCCACATCAGGTTGGGATACAGCTGCACGCACAGCTCGGCCCCGTTGTGCCGCAGCGTGGACAGCATCCCTGGGGAGATATGCATCTCCCTCCTTCAAACTGCTCCCCACCTCCTATTCCCTCTCCCCATCCTCTGGTGGGTCTTTTAGCTCTCCGCCAGGCGGTGGAGATGGTCAGCCAGGTCAGTCCCTCCACCCCTTACACCAGGACTCGCTGTGTTAAAAAAAAAACAACCTGTAGTTCGGCACAGATCAGGGCCATCTTCCCATCTCCCTGGAGCTCAGAGGGGCTGACGGAGCTGCTCAGTGCTGGTAGGAGGCTGCAACACGATCATATTTCTGCAGCCTGCCTAGATGAACCTGAGGGTGATGCCTGGCCTTTTGCCAATAAGGTGAGCAGGGCAGACTCCGCATCCCAGGGCTCCCACGCTTCACTCCAGCTGCATCCACCAGCAGTATCTTTCCACCCCTCTTCCCGGCAACCACCCAGGGACCAGAAACACCCCTGTGGTTTCCACCTTTCCTTTCCCAACAAACACCCCCCCAACCCCGACCTGGACCGCTGTTTCCCTGGACGTTGATGCTACTTGAAGTTGATGGAGCGCTCCGTTTGCTGCTGGGCGGCGTAAATCCTGGCCCTAGCAGGGGGAATATTAATTGTAAGGCAGCTGCCAGAGCCAGAGGAGCCAAGCAGCTTATGGTCTTCTAATTAAAGGCCTGTGGTCGTGCAGGACGTGGTGGAGAGCTGAGCAGGCCAAGCCTCGCTGGTCCATCCAGCAGCCTCACGTGGAGCCAACTGCAGCTACAGGCATCCTGGTGTCATTTCTGATGGCTTAGCAGGGGCAGGGGGAGGAGGTACCATTTATTATAGATGATGACTTTTAATTAAATCCTCCTCTATTCATATTTGAAAAGCACTTTGAAGTTCCAGGGGATGGGAAAGGTCAAGGGCAGAGGAGGCCATCCTAGGCCACTCCTAAGTGGCTGTCATGCTGGGTGACACACAGGCGGGCTGCTTGACACGACTTGGCCATCGTGGCTGCTCCCTCATCTTCTGCCTAACTGCTGAGTGTCATCTAGGCAGGGCTTGTCTTGGAGGCCACCCCAGGAGGTGACAGCTGGGCTGGGTGCATCCTTTTGCTCCCTTCTCCATCCCTCCCACCCCCAAATCCACTTCTGCAAAGCAAACCTCCTGCCCCAGCCCCGCTCCTTGACCCCGGTACGTACCACCGTGACGGTGCAGAGCTCCTGCAGCGCCCGCTGCTGCTGCACCTGGCTGCCAAAGCTGGAGCTGCCATCACAGAGCTCAGAGCAGTTGAATCCCGGCTCCATAGCACATCCTCAGCCGTCATCCAGCCGTGCCTCCACCCCTGCTGGAAGGATGAGGGTCAGGCTTCATCCAGCGAGAAGAAGCCCTTGGCAAGCGCCGGATCTCCTCCCTGTTGGTAGGGTGTAGGGAAGGGGTCTGGCAGCCCAAAGGCTTAGCTTACCCAAAGTGCACATCCAGAGCCAGGATGGGGAGCGCCCACCTCCCGGCGTCCCTCAGGGTGTCCTCTGCGGCCAGGGGAGTCAGCGCAGGCCGTGGGTCCCTGTGGAGCGCGGTGGCATCCCGAGCCCTGCTATGCCACCCTGCAAACCAACATATGCCGAGGTCAGGGTGGCCCCTGGCCCCTACACCCCAGTTGTGGAGCTGAAAGCCAGTGCCCTGCCGGTCTGAGCTGGAGCATGGCACCCTGAGCTCGCCACAACTTTCCTCTGCCAACACATTTTCCCACACCAGTGTAATTTAAAAAGGAGATCTGAAAGCCTGGCACCTCTGTGCTACCTGTCCCTCCCTGTGCGCCGGCTGCCAGGTACCGTCCCCGCCTGCGCCCGCTCCCCCTCGCGCCACCTTTGCCTCTGTTCCCTCTTTCATTTCTCTTTTTGGTGGGGATTTTAATAGGCCTCATTACCATTTTAGACATGAGGTCATACTTATCCTCAAGCATCCTTACCCAATTACTATTGTCACCGGTTTTAATTAGCTTCCAGCGCACGACCATAAACAAGCCTCCCGTCGTTAGCAGCTGGGGAGGAAGCGCAATAGCTCACTCTCCATTCGCTCCTCACAACAGGTGGGAAGGGAAAAAAAAATTATCCATATCATGTTCCTCGGGGCTGCTTCCCCACCGCGCATCCCCTGCGCTCACACCCTGCGCCTGGCTGGTGCTCCATCCCTCCCTGCCGCTGCTCCCAGCACTTTGATCCCCTTCCTTTCCTTGCAAGCCCTTTCTTTGGAAAAAAAACTCCCATCATTATGCAAGCAAAGAAAGAGTACATTAAAGCAAAGCGTGGTCACCAGGATCTGGTCTGAAACCTGCTGTTCTTCATGGGGGATAATCAGGATTCAAAGGCCAGAAAAGCTACGGGTGTTGTTCTCCGCTTGTGTAAACTGATTTTTCAGCTTTAGAGAAGTCACTTATGAGTCCTAGCCCGACAAATCGGGGTCGGTGGGCCACTTGTTCAAAATTAGCAGAGTCTCCTCTGAAGCAACAACTGCAACTCTCCTGCTGGCAGAAGCCCTGACATACAGTGGGTCTTCTGTGCCAGAACTGCCCCTAGGCTGAGATCAGCACAATTTGTTCTATAAACATATTACCACGTTCCCCAGACATACAATTTTATAGGCATGGTAGAGTTGGGGTTTTTTTCCAAGTGCACTGCTACAAGCCAACTTCATCAAGCCTCCTATTCTCTTCAGCTTGTAGCAGACCTTGGTGGCATTTCCCCACAGCAGCATCAATCTCTGGAGGGTTCCATGCCCTTCAACGCTCAGGCTGAGCGATCAGGCAAGGAATACGGCTGCAGGAAACCTCAGGTATTGTAACAACAGTAGAAAGGCAGTGGAGAGGAGACAGGCTCCAGGTGAACAGTTCAAGGATAACACTGGCAAATGAGACGGTGTGTGGAGGGGCTGCATGCGTGCCTGGAGATGAGGGGTAGGAGAAGGCCACTTTGATGCTGAGAAGTCCTGTAGGTGAGAACTACCCAGCCTCCTGAAGGGCTCAACTCCTCCCCATGCCTCCAGGTGTGTTTAAGGACAAGGGGTCTCCCTATAACCCCTATAACTCCCTGTAACCTCCTGCCATGTCAGAGGGGGAGCCCACCTGCCAGGTGGACCACCACCAAGGCTGGCATGAGGCCCTCCTGTAGCTCACAAATGGAGATGTTTCCACAAGGAGCATCAGTTCAGCTCCCATCCTCCTGGGAAGCCACCCCTTGGCAGAGGGCATGAGCCCCATGGGGTCTCCCCAGCCCCCACCCCACTATTCCACAAATGGCTCCTGCACAACATTTATAACAAGCTGATGCCAACTAGGACTCATTAGTATGCAACAAAGCAAGCACTAGTGTGGTTGTCATGAAAGGCAACAAGCATTTCCAGCCCAGCTCCTGCCTCTCGTGAGAGCCAGCAGAAACACTCTTCCATGGCCTTGAGAGCATCTGAGGGGAATCAGTACTGCAGGGGGTGACTGCCCTTTGGGGTTGGGCAATGATTGAGGGGACAGAGAGCAACATGGGTAAGAAAACACATCCTTAAAACATTAGGGTCTCTTCAAGGCAGAGACTTGTGGGATTTTGGGGGGGTTGCTTTTTTTTTTTAAGGCCAAAATACCCAACAATTCTGGTGGATCACTTCCGGAGCAGAATCACAGAATGGTTTGGGTTGGAAGGAACTTGAAGATCATCTGGCCCAACCATGGACAGGGACATCTTTCACTTGATCAGGCTGCCCAAAGCTGGCAACCCGACCTTGAATGTTCCATGGGATGGAGCATCCACAGCTGGTCCAGCGCCTCGTAAAAAGATTCGTCCTGTGTCCAACCCAAATCTACCCTCTTTCAGTTTAGAATTGTTGCCTCTTGTCCTGTCACTACAGGCCTTGGGAAAAAGCCTTTCTCTGTCCTTCTTATAAGCCCCCTTTAAGTACTGGAAGGTTTTAGACTCTTCCATGGCCTTGAGAGCATCTGAGGGGAATCAGTACTGCAGGGGGTGACTGCCCTTTGGGGTTGGGCAATGATTGAGGGGACAGAGAGCAACATGGGTAAGAAAACACATCCTTAAAACATTAGGGTCTCTTCAAGGCAGAGACTTGTGGGATTTTGGGGGGGTTGCTTTTTTTTTTTAAGGCCAAAATACCCAACAATTCTGGTGGATCACTTCCGGAGCAGAATCACAGAATGGTTTGGGTTGGAAGGAACTTGAAGATCATCTGGCCCAACCATGGACAGGGACATCTTTCACTTGATCAGGCTGCCCAAAGCTGGCAACCCGACCTTGAATGTTCCATGGGATGGAGCATCCACAGCTGGTCCAGCGCCTCGTAAAAAGATTCGTCCTGTGTCCAACCCAAATCTACCCTCTTTCAGTTTAGAATTGTTGCCTCTTGTCCTGTCACTACAGGCCTTGGGAAAAAGCCTTTCTCTGTCCTTCTTATAAGCCCCCTTTAAGTACTGGAAGGCTACTATAAGGTTTTCTGGTAGCCTTCTCTTCTCCAGGCTGAACAACCCCAACTTCTCAGCCTGTCCTTGTAGGAGAGGTGCTCCATTCTGCAGATCATTTTTGTGGCCCTCTTTTGGACCCGCTCAAAGAGGACCATGACCTTCCTGTACTGACTCTTGTCCTGTCACTACAGGCCTTGGGAAAAAGCCTTTCTCTGTCCTTCTTATAAGCCCCCTTTAAGTACTGGAAGGCTACTATAAGGTTTTCTGGTAGCCTTCTCTTCTCCAGGCTGAACAACCCCAACTTCTCAGCCTGTCCTTGTAGGAGAGGTGCTCCATTCTGCAGATCATTTTTGTGGCCCTCTTTTGGACCCGCTCAAAGAGGACCATGACCTTCCTGTACTGAGGGCCCCAGAGCAGGATGCAGTACTCCAGGTAGGGGTCCCACCAGAGAGGAGTAGAGGGGTAGAATCACCTCCTGTGACCTGCTGGCCATGCTTCTTTTGATGCAGCCCAGGATACAGTTAGCTTTCTGGGCTCTGAGTGTACATTGCAGGATCACGTCCAATTTTTTGTTCACCAGTACCCCCAAGACCTGTGCAGGGCTGCTCTCAATCCCTTCATCACTCAAGAGGAGTTAGTTCTTGTTTTCTTTTTTTGTCACTCTAGAAACATTAGGGTCTTTTTTGGGTAATTTCAGAAGAAAATTCAGCTTGTAAAAAGAGGAAGGGAAAGGCTGAAGGCATTAACACCTCCTTGTGCTCTTGCTAGCCTGAACATCACAGAGGGAAAAGGGAAGCCAGAGAGTGATGCCGACTGCAAGCAGAATATGATATTTGATTTTCAAATAACAGAATGAGGGAACACCACGAGAGCAGTTTCCAACAGCCTGCTGCACACCCCGTGGAAGCACTCATAGCATCAGATGAAGTAAAGCCCTTGCTCAGCCCGCCGGCTCTGCTTGCCTTGTTCTCCTCCTCTTGCCACCCTCTGCCTCTGTGGTATAACATCTGATGGTTGGTTGGGTCATAGTGGCTAGCATTGGGCCATGGCTGAGCATCAGCGTGCGCGTGGGCATGATCCAACAAGCCTCAAGTTGATAGGAAACAACTGACTGGACCACATGAGAAATATTAGCACCATCATCTTCTAATGTAAAAAGGAAGCACTGACTGTTAAAAACAGTACTCAGATAAAAGTAATTTGCAGTCATCTCAACGGTTGATCTTCAGGGCTGGAAAACCTGTTTCTTTAGATCATTCAAGACCGAAGATTACTTATCCACCAATGCTGAGCAACTGTAGACTAATGCATAAATATCCTTCAAAAAAGATGCAGTTGATGATGCCTAAATGTACATCTTGACGGCCTCACAGTTTCTTCTTCCCTTCAAAACCTTTCTTTTGAAACAGCAGAGGAAAAAAATCTTAAAGAAGCTGAAAAACTGATGCAGCTTGTATGGGCCCAGAGCAGGCAGAATGAACGTTTCACCCCAGCCGGTTCCTTTTGATCTAGTGTTGAAATAGAGACTTTTTCCAAAGAACAAGGTGATGTCACAATTCAGTGAATAAAAAGGTAGAAAACTGAAGATGTCAAATCACAGACAACAGAACAATTGCATTCAGAAATGTGCC